GGATATCTGGGGGGAAAGTAGTCCAAGCTGAAGAAACAGAAAGTACAGTTCTCTGAAGCAGAGTGTGTTTGGCTTGCTTGAGGAACAGCAAGAAGGCCATTATGCATAGCAGAGTGAGCAGGGAGTTGTCTTTTTATCTCTTTATAGAAACTGTTTGTATTTACCCCATGTAGTTATGCTACTAAGTATATACAGTTAAATTCATTTGCTCCATTTATTTTACATTTTTAGGGATTTTTTTAAATTTACTTTTGTAAATGGTTTGCATGGTTATAAATTCAAATCTACAAAGCGAAGTATATCCTTGTTCCCTCTGATCTATTCCTTCCCCCATAGAAAACTATCTATGAATCTTCTATTTTTTAAACATAGGAAATACATTTGTAATTTTCTCCGCTTCTTAGATACAATCATATCTCTTTCTCCACTTCTGAGATAAATGGTAATGTAATATAAAAATATGAATATTTAATGAATTTGTGTCATCCTTGCACAGGGGCCATGCTACTATTCTCTATATCATTACAATTTTGGTATATGTGCTGCTGAAGCAAAACATTAAGATTTTTACATGGGTAATATAGACAAACAAAAATGTTCAAATGTTTTGAACAAATTCATACTAAAAATGTAAAAATGTTCCTTGGGTTCTCTATGTTTGAATTTGGTAACACTGAACTACTAGAAATAAAAAGAAATTCTAGAGGTCATTTTAATTTATCCCAAGGGACTCAAATCTTAATTAAAGAGAAATAAAAAGTTATTGCAAATTACTTTGTACATACTATTTATTATTGTGCAAACGTTTATTGAGCGAGCACTATGTTTAACACTCAATGCTAGGTGCTATGGAAGACATAATATGAATTAGATGTAATCCCTGTCCTTGAGAATCTTACCATCTGTGCTAGTTATTAACTCATGACTTCTCAGCTACAAATCTACCCTTTTTCTTTTTTTTTTTTTGCCTTGCTTTGTTATTCTAGAGCTGGACTCTTCAGGCATTTCTGCTTTCACAGCTGGCAAAATGTTAGGCTTTCCCAACAGAAGGCAATGAGAGACTCTGTGAGGCCAGAGCAGGAGAAATGGGCTTTCCTTTCTTCTTCTGATATACTATTTTTTTGTGTACAGGCAGTAGATTGGTTTGCAGGAGAGGCCTGGTGGTGGTCACTACAGGAATCCTCATGGTTCAGTTATGGCCCATACCTCCAGTAATTTTCTTCACCACAGGTGGACTGCACATTCCTGTGGCAGCTACACACTAAATTTCTGTTTCTTCCTTGCTGTTCACTCTCCCTCAGCCAAGGGTAGTAACCGTGCCTACAGTACTACTACTGTACCCCTTAGGCTCCACTCTACTCCTTTTAGTACCTTTCACTAGTTAACAATTCCTTATATTAAATTTTCCTGGTTCAAACTACAGTTATGGTCTCTGTCTCCTGGTTGGTCCCTAGCAAATATACCATTGAATAAGCAAGCAAAGACAGATGTAGGCTAATATAAATTCTGTGGAAGAAAGCCCACTTCATCTGTAATCACAGCCCAAAGAGCCTCAAAGACGTAAATCTATAAAATTATGTATCAGTAGGGTTGTGTTCAGCTGCATATAACAGAAACTGACCTCAGTAGCTTAACCAAATAGAGATTTACTTTTTCATGTAACAGGAAGTCAATAAATAGACAATTAAGGGCTGCTGTAGCCATCCAAAAAAAAAAAAAAAGAAAAAAAGAAACGTTAAGAACCCAGGCTCCTTCTAGTTTCCAGCTTCTCCATTCTTAATGTGCAACTTCTATCCTCATAGTTGCAATATTGCTGCTTCAACCCAGACATTGGATCTGTATTCCAGGAAAGAAAAAGAAAGAGTAATGAAAAAATGAAATAATCCATTTAAATCTACCCCCTTTCTAAGCATTCTTAGGAGTGCTGCCAAGTAATTTAAACCCACATATCATTGACCACATATCAATTCCTAATTGTAAGGGAATCCGAGAAGCTCAGTATGTTTTAACTGGGCACAGGGCTCTTTAAGAAAGAAGGGGAGAATAGATGTTGGATAGGCAACTAGCTTTATCTGCCACAAATTAATTGAAAAATCAGTAAATTACTTACTTTTGAGATGTAAAAGAGTCAGCAGAGGAACTGATTTCACTTCCACATACTTGCTCATTTTCTTTTAATGTAAATAGTCTTTCTATATAATTATCAACTATTACATAAAATTGTTTTTCCCCCATAACTAGCATATCTTACCAGAAAAAAAGGATAGAATGAAATTTATTTTATTAGTACATTATTTTCATCTAACTCCTTTATATGAATTTTAGCCTACACCATCTGGACCTCTGAGAGGTTGTGGAAAGATTCATTTACTATTAATTCCTTACTAAATTCTCTAAGGCCAAGTTAGTGAATCCTATAAAATTTAGTAAGTCCTGTAAAATTAGTGCAGGTTAAGAGGCTTTTTTAAGAAAAAGGATATATCGATACCAAGTTAAAGCCAATGTAAGAAACAAAAAACTTTATTAAAAAATGAAATATGGGCCGGCCCGGTGGCGCACTGGATAGTGCGCCGCTTGGGAAGCGCGGCGGCGCTCCCGCCCGAGGGTTCGGATCCCACATGCAGACCGGTTCCCGCTCACTGGCTGAGCGAGGCGCGGGAGCAACACCGAGGGTTGTGATCCCGTTGCTGGTCCCCAGTCCGGTACGTGGGCAACACTGAGGGTTGCAGTCCGTTGCTGGACACGGAAAAAGACAAAAAAAAAAAATAATAATAATAATAATAATAAATATTACTGAGTACTGGTTACCATGTCCCAAGTACTGGTGATACAGCAGTGAAGCAAACATAGTTTTCAAGAAAATCCTTATTCTTGGGAGCTTACAGTTTAGCTTGGGTGAGAATGGGGTAAAATAAATGGTATGCCATATGGTAGTGTTATGGAGAAAAAGCAGCGTGGGAGAGAGAGACTTCAGAGGGAGAAGATGAAAGTGTACAGTGCTGAATTGATGGGATGGGGGCTATCCCTCTGACATTTAGCAGAAGCGTGAAGGAGGTAAGGGGATGAACCATGTAAGTATCAGGCAAAGGAGCAGGAAGTACAGAGGCCCTCTGCCAGGATTCGTGCTTGGCATGGTCACAGAAATACAAGGAGGCCAGTGTAGTTAGAGCCAAGTAAGTAAGGGTGAAGATGGTAGACGGTGAGGACAGCAAGGTAATGGGAGGCCAGGTTCTGTAGGGTCTTCTAGACCGTTATGAGGATTTTGACTTTTATTCTGAATGAAATAGGAATCCTTGGAAGGTTTTGAGCAGAAGAGCAGCATAGTTTGACTTAGGTTTTAACAGGATTACTCTGTTTCCTATGTAGACTGAGTGGGGGATGGACAGTAATAGAAGCAGGGAGAACTTTAGGAGGCTATTACAGTTATCCAAGTAAGAGATTTTGAGGTTTGGATTATGGTGGTAGTGGTAGGATTGGAATTCTGATTATGTTTTGAAGGTAGACCCATCAGGATATGCTGATGAATTGGATGATGTGAAAGCAAGAGTCAAGGATGATGCCAGAACACAGTTGGAGGATAGAGTTGCCAGTTACTGAGATGGGAGAGAATAGAGGAGGAGCAGGTTTGGGCTAAAGGGGTGCCAGCCTGCTAAAACCCACCTGTAAACCCAAAAGGCGCCAGCTGAAGCCCACCTGTAAATCTAAAAGCGCCACAGATAACCAACAGTTGATCCTATCACAATATCTGTTCAAAAAAAACTGTATAAAAGCTGCTTGCATTGTGAATTCGGGGCGCTCCTGTCCTGAAAACGGGGCAACCTCCAGCACGCAGGAAATAAAAACCTCTTGCTTGTGCATCGATCTCTGCCTCCTGGTCTTTGTGAGATGAGCCTTCCCATCAAGTTAAGATTTGTGCTTTTAGGCTGGTCTTTCAGGGCTTCTTCCCAGGGTTGCTGTTAGATGATATTGCAACTTTGTGCTAAACAGTAAAAGGTTGATCCTCTAGGTTGATGTTGTCTCATGCCAGGGCTCTAGGCAGAAAGGGCTGGAGTTCAGTGCTCAGCCATCTCCTTAGCTGGGCATCCTAAAGTTTAATCTTTTATGTTGACTTGTATCACTTCCAGTAGCCATTTAGTAGAACTACTAAATTAAATTGACATAATTCAAGGATCTAAAAAGACCAGAATTTCAATGAGAGCCATTTTTCTGAGACATTTGTGCATTCATTTGAAGAAAACGATCTGTCCAAAGTTACCAAAAACAGGTGTTAACGTTGAGTAGGTTTTGGAAATACAAAGACTTTTTTCAGTCCCAAACCTTACATGAAATACATTACAAACCCTTAATTCTTCCAATCATAGAGCTAGAAGAAAAGGTGATCACTCTCACTTTACCCAGTGGCAACTTTGTGTCCAAAGCCACAAAACTCTTGGATCTACTCATTTGCTCATTCCTCTTTCACCTGAAGGACTAGCCATACTTCTGGACCCGTTTTCGGGTTCCTTGAAAGAAATATCTTCACTTTGCTGGAGACCCTAGTTTCTTGCCAAGTAGTGAACGAATCCCTTTCCTCCCCTCACACCCGCCTATACAGTCCCATTTCACAGAGGAGGAGAACGACCAGAAAGAGGGTCCTTCTACTAAACAGAAGTAGCAACTGATAAAAGGACAAATCTCAACGTAACAAAAAGCCCCACTCTCCTCCAGCCGGTTCAGATTAAAGCGAAACAATCCTTTCGGTCTTCTCTGACAGGCTAGTCTTCAAATTCTTTCTGTCTCCTCTTTACCACCCGCTGCCCGCCAGCCGCTCGTCGGGCGTCCGTCGTTGTCCTTCCCAACTGGTTACCAATAAAGTTGTTACAAAGTGACCTTGAGCGTCTTCCCCGGTGCACCCAATACCCCGCCTTCTCCATCCGGGCGCCGCGGCACGGATAAGAGCCTCTCCGCGCCTGCGCGCCGAGCCTCACTCCTTCGACCTCTGCCGCCGTCTCCTCCGCAGCCGCCGCCGCCGCCGCCGCCGCTACTTTCCGGGAAGGTAAACGAGCGAGCGCGGGAGCCCGGCCTGGCCGGGGCAGAGCAGCGCCCAGTAGGGATCCATTCATTCTGCTGGCGCCTCGCTGGGCACGAGGCCCAAGCTGACGGCGTGCACGGGAGCCCGCGGGGCCTGGGTGGGAAGGACAGGCCCCTAGAAGGCCCTTGACCTTAAGCCTCTTTGCTTCCGCAGAGAGAAAGCGGGAGAGGAACGCGCGTCGCCTGTCACCCAAGTCCTCCAGCCGCGCCGCCCCGAAGAGTGTAAGATGTTCGCCTGCGCCAAGTTCGCCTGCACCCCCGCTCTGGTGCGTAGCCCAGGCTAGGCCGGGGTACTGAGGGCCGGGCCTCTTAGCCTGGAGCGTCCATGTTGCTGAATGGGGCAACGTGCGTGCGGGGCACACCGCCCTTTCGGGAACAGCTTTCTTACCCCTTAACCTGATGCCCTTTTCTTCCTTTCTTCCTAATCCTAGAGCATGTCAGTCTTCTCTCCCAATGGGGCGGTGGAGAGCAGCCGAGGCCTAGCTGTCAGGCTCCATTCGGTGTAGGTCAAACCCTCATTGCTCCTCCCGGAGCGGCCCCCTACTCCACCTCCTCGGTCTCTTTTGGGTTGGAGTAGGGCGTGAAGATTGGGGTGGTGGGGAGGACGTAGGGGGCCGCTGAGGCCTCGTTCACCGCAGCAGCCCTCTCCAGTGCTTGTCTGTAGGTCAAACTCGCTGCTGCAGAGGGAAGGACTGTGTGTCTCACCGTGTGTGGGTGGAGGAAGATGGTGGGGTAGCCGAAAGTCTTTCCTCCTTCCTGCCTCTGGGATATTATTTCCATAACCGTTTTTGAAGGCTTTAGGTTAAGTCTAAATCTGGAGGGTTTGCAGAGAATCAGGTTTTTGTTCTGAAAGGATTTTCTGTGACCTTAATTTAGTGGACACTCAAAGGCAGAGAAGCCGAACTGGAATATGTCCTTACGGTCACAGTATTTCACCAATTATTCTTAAACTAATGTAGAATTGCTTGAACTCCTTTATTTTATGATTAATGGGCATGTGGGAATATTTTGGAAATGGTGGGAGCTCATATTCACTGCTGGACTATATTAGAATTTCTGCTCAGAATATTGCAAATAGATTATGTAGCAAGCTTTACCATTTCATTAGCAACTTTAAAACTTTGTTAAAATTTTTTCATGTATTGAAAATGACCAAACAGCCAAGATGAGTCAATACAGAAAAGTCTCTGATTCATTTTTGCTGCTTGCTTTTTTGAACTCCTGGTACAAGAAAGGTCATTGAAGTCTTGTCTGCATTCTTAATACTTGGAATCTTTTTTTTCGTTAATAGATCCGAGCTGGATCGAGAGTTGCATACAGACCAATTTCTGCTTCAGTGTTATCTCGACCAGAGGCTAGAACTGGAGAGGTAATAGTAGTAATAAGAAAAACTAGGTAACACTACCAAATAAGTCTTATGGTTTTGATAGAGTGAAGGAAAAAGAACCTTGTTAATGAATGGCTTGAGGGCAATCCTCTTCCACCCTTTTATTGAAAAAATATGTAGAGGATGAGCCAATAAGAAACTTCAGTATCCAAAACTTATCCACCTGAATTGGCCAATAAATATTGTATTTAGTATTTATACTTAAGTCTATAGTTTTGAGTTGCCTATATTTAAGAAATATAATAGCTACGGTTGTGGGAAAAACTTATTCTATTGAAAAGCATATTCCTATATGCTGTTTCTTCATTTTCAACAACCTTATAAGGTGTGGATATTGTTACTCCTAGTCTACAAGATTGGAATTATTCCAAGCTCTCTTGATTTTTCTCTTGTCCATGCCACTACCTATTCACACTTAGCTACAAAATAGGTTAGTAGTTATCATTTTCACAGTATAGTAATTAAATTAGCTGTGAATACTGATTTGACCTTTGCCTTTATTTCCTATCCTCTAGGGCTCTACAGTATTTAATGGGGCCCAGAATGGTGTTTCTCAGCTCATCCAAAGGGAGTTTCAGACCAGTGCAATCAGCAGAGACATTGATACTGCTGCCAAATTTATTGGTGCAGGTGCTGCAACAGTAGGAGTGGCTGGTTCTGGTGCTGGTATTGGAACAGTCTTTGGCAGCCTTATCATTGGTTATGCCAGGTAATCATTTCCATCCCCGAATAAGTTAAAGAGCATGCTTGAAATAGTTGGAAGTTTAGAAAGCTAGTGAGATAATAATAGCAACTTGTGTCTTGCATATAATGCAAAATATAATTTTGAGGGCTTTGTATGCATTATCTCACTTAATCCTCACAATACCCCTTGGAGATATACTTTACCTATGGAGGACCAGAGACACACAGGTTACACTACTTGCCCAAGTTCATAGCTAGTAAGTGTCAGAAAATGAATTTTAACTCAGTCTGACTTCAGAGGCTGCACTCCTAATTGTTAACCTGTACTGAAATATAATTAATAGAGCACATTCTTTAAAAGTATCACTTTCATTTGGTTATTTAAGACCTTATTTCTAAACTGTCAGATCTTAAAAGGTATAGAACATACTTTAAGAGGGATAAGAAAAATGTCAGAACCCCTCAAAATGGATGAAAACTAACTATTTATGTTGACATGCAGAGACAGCTCCCTACCTTTATGCTGTATGAGTAGGATTGGGGAGCAAAGAGTATCAAAGGCAGAAGCAAAATATCTAGGCAAATACTTTTCCAGTAGACTTTCCAGTTTATAAAGATCCCCACACTAGTAATTTGATTCTTTAACATTTACCAAACATGTCAAAACTAATATTTCAAAGTAACAGTCATATATGTTGTCTCTTTTAGAAACCCTTCACTGAAGCAGCAGCTGTTCTCATATGCTATCCTGGGATTTGCCTTGTCTGAAGCTATGGGTCTCTTTTGTTTGATGGTTGCTTTCTTGATTTTATTTGCCATGTAACAGAAATGTTGTACTGCTTGAAATGTTGGCATTCATATTAATTACGGATGTAATTCTGTGTATCTTACTGTGACTCCGAAAACTGTAGAGTTGGTGTCATGGAAATGTACATTATTTCCAAAGTCATTTCATTAAAGATGAAAACTTTAATTTTTGCTGTGATTTGTACTTACCTAAATTTAGATCATCACAAAGAACATGCATTCAGACAGATGCTGTCCAATTCAGAGGAAGTTACAGCAGTTGCCTAAAGTAATTTTATGAGAATTCTTTTATATAATATTCTGCATAATATTGTAATCATAGGGCTTTTGTTTATTCATAGAATGAAGAAATATTTGAGTGCTTTGACCTTCTATGAAATATGATTAATTAAACCAAGACAGATAATTTCAAGATGGTTTTGTGTTTTTAAGGGCTAACATGAATTGGAATAGTTGGAAAGAGAATGATCTTCTAAGACAGACTCGAGTGGTCTTATGTAGCTGGATATACAAATAAAAATCATGTCAGCTTTTTAGGAGTTGAAGCCTTAAACTTGGGGCAGTGTGATTTTTGTTTTTCAGTAAGTCTCACATTAAGCAATTGTGTGTGTATAATGAATCTTCTCTGTCTTTAAGAAGAGACTCAATCTAACTAGCAGCTAGTTTCTTACTTGAATAAGACTCTTATTAAAAACCAAATATCAAAAAGTAAACTGAATTGGCTACACTTTTAATACCAAAAGTTTATAAAGCAGTGTTCATTATTACTGCTGCTAACATGTTTATAGAGGTAGTCCTTGGAATGATGGTTCAACAGTATTTAGCTTCTAATACTGCATGTTGCTTCTTGGTCAAACTTCCAATCAAAAGGAAGAAAGTGGTGCTACTATAGGAAGACTTAGTTTTCCCCCTAGCAAATATATTGTACCGTTATATTATTTCTCATCTAAGTTTCAGGGTTTATTTGAAGGTTAAGGAAACAATTAAGAAAGGTACATTTTACTCCTTTAGTGTCCTCAGCCTAATTGGATTTCAACTGAGAACAGTTGGTTGTCAAGACTTTCTCAAGTGTAGTAGGAAGACACCTCCATCAGAATCACCTAGGATGCTTGTTTAAAATACAAATCCCTAGGTTCCAGACTTAATGAATTAGAATCTTTGGCCATGGGACTTAACAATTCACATATTAAAAAGGCTTCCTAGGTAATTTTTGTGCATGCTGTTTGAGAATCACTAATTTACACTTATCCTTGCTACCTTCTATAAAATGAAATGAGACCCCAAAAAGCTAAAGAACTAGAGCTTTTACTACTTTTTAGTTGATTAATCAAGTAGTCTATACCAAATATGAAATTCCTGGGGCCTAAACTGTTTTCTTGACAGCACTACCCAGTATTTGAACTCAGCAATGTAAATAAAAAGTACTGTGTTATATGACTCAACACCATGCCTGAATCTATATATGCCCTAAAAAATTGGAAATAGGTGTTCAAACAAAAATTCGTACATGGCTGTTCATAGCAGCAGTATTCATAATAGCCAAAAGGTGGAAACAACCAAATGTTCATCACCTGATGAATGGGTAAATAAAATGTGGTATAGCCATACAATGGAATATTTTTCAGCCATAAAAAGGAATGAGGGCTGGCCTCATTCCTTTTCTTTCAGTTCATTAGAACACAGCCTTATAACCCCACAGTCAAGTGTTTGGATCCCTGTACTGCCAGCTACCAAGAAAAAAAAAAAAAAAAAGAATGAGGTAATGATACATGCCAAAATGCCAAACATGGGTGAACCTTGGAAACATGCTCAGTGAAAGAAGCCAGACACAAAAGGCCACATATTGTATGATTCCATTTATATGAAATATCCAAAATAGGCAACTGCATTGAGACAAAGCCAATTACTGCTTACCAGGCACTTGGAGGAGGGGAGTATAAGAAGTGACTGTGTAATGGGTATGGGGTTTACTTCTGGGGTGATAATGTTCTTGATAGTGGTGATGATTGCACAGCATTGTAAATGTACTAAATGTCACTGAATTGTACACTTTAAAATGGTTAAGATGGCAAATTTTACATGTATTTTACTACAGTTAAAAAGTACTGTTCTATGTAACACAAAGTACATAGTATAAAACCATAACAAATTTTCAAAATCATACAGAAATACTTAGATTAACTAGTCTTCTGTTCCAAGTTCATTTTAAATAAAATCAGTCTTGGTAAAGACCTATTCTTGATGCTGGTTTGGTGGTTGAATAGGCTTGAAACATTGATTCTGAAGCAGGTTTCTTGCAAGAGATGCCTCAGCTGAGGGAACTGCCCAAGAATGAAAAGGAAATACCTGAGCTGTGGCTGCATAGTCTTCAGGTTACTGAGCAAAAAAACATCTTAAGAAAACAGTATAACACAGAAGAATAACTACAGGTGATTTTATCTAGAAGAGGAAAGGAAGTACTCTATCAAAGTTTCATCCTAGAGTATGCCCTACTACTTACTCTTTTATTTTTATTTCTAGTAACAAAATGTCTGACATTGTAAGTACATCACTGAAGTACACCTACTCGCAGCAGAAATGTTTATTTTTCACCATGTGTATAGGAAGTACCACCTCCCTTAGCTTTGCAAACAAATGTTAATTATAAATGCTTTTTACTAACTTGTTAGTTTCTGAACAGAGGCTGATAAAGATAGTATTTGTACATCAAACATGAAATGAAGAATTTTCCATGTTCGTAAGAGTTGGCCTATTTAAAACCTCCAACAGGCAAGAGCTCCGTAGAGTGGTACAGTGCCAATTCAACTATATTCAGATTGTTGCTTCTAAATGCATTTCAGATTTTCAGGCATACTTTTTATTTAGTAATATGTTGTTTCCTTTCCTTAATGTGGAAATGTAATAGTTTTACTGCCTTTGGTATTAACTCAAAATACAAAGAGAAGATTCTCATCTAGCCATAAACACTGGACATGTAAGTAAATAAAATTCAAAGTGAGGTGGCAAACTCCACAAGAGTGGCAGTAAGTGCTAAGATGTTCAGAAGGGCCAGAAATTGTTTTCCAGTAAGGGAATCACATGAAAAAGTGCTATTTGTCTACAATTTAAGATAAACCTTGAAGTACAGGTATAATGAATATAGGCCAGAAGAGGGTATCTTGGCTAGTGAACAGCATGAGGAAAGGTAAATCAGTAAAGCATGGATATGTAAACCAGGAGTTGCCTGGGTTTGGGAGGGAAATAGTGTGAGATAAGGTTGCAAAAGTAGACTGGGGCCAAGTTATGTAAACTGGCATATGTAACTGGGTTTTATTCATGTGACTACAGACAGCCACTGAAAATTTAGAGTTGTGTTTTAAGAAGGTTAATATGAGACCAATGTGTGGGATGGACTAAAGCAACCAATGTACCATAGTAGCTAGTAACTTTGCTGAAAAGTAATAAGGGCCTAGTCTAGGATGATGGCAACGAGCATTTTAAAGAAGAGTGCAAAAGTAGTATCAGTAGAAACCAGTTAGGAGAGGAAAGAGTATGTATCTAATAAGTGCTACTCCCTATGCTAGAAGAATTATATATACTGTCATTTAACCCTCATAACCCTGAAAAATTGGGATTAGATTCCAAGATGCAAAGATAAATAGGATCGGAGGGGTTAAACAATTCCCAAAATTACATAGCCATTAGGTGGCAAAGTCAGGATTCAAATTCAGGTCTTCCTTGATTCCAAAGTCCATGCTTTGATTTTTAGTGTGACTATGTTAGGGATGACAAGGAAAAAGATTATTTGGGGAAAATGATCAGTTTTGCTTTTTATGTAATTTTAAATACAAGAGGTATAATCTTACAGATAGACTTGTGGCCTTGAGGAAAGGTATGGTATATGGTATGGAGTAGATGTGAATAGAAAGTGCAAAGGAGCAATAAGGACCCAACTCTGGATAAAGAACATGAATTTGTAGTGAACCTCATTAACCGATTCTCCAGCAATGTAGAGAAGCTTGTTAACAGGAACTGATGTAAACAGCAGTGGGAGGACTGGGCACTGGCAAGAAGAGATGACAGGAGGTGAAGGGAGGCGTTAGGCAGACAGCAAACAAGCATTGTTCAACAAGATGACCTATGAACTTCAAACGGGGTAAGGAACAAGTGAAGACACAATAGGGGTGATAAATTGGAAGAAAAGGGAGGGGTCAAAGGCCCAGAGGCCCTTAAATAAGATTGCAGATTCATTTCAGTAAAAGCCAAAAATAAACAGGAAATTTAAAGAATTTCAGAGTTCAAAATCTTGGAGGTAAAGTAGGTTCATGGAATAACCAAAATTTGTGGCCAACTTGCTGAGTGGCTAAAGTTGGGTAGAAACAAATGTTATTGCAGTTAAGTGTGAGGAAAGATTGTAGACAAATGGGAAATAACATTTGAGAACTAAATAAACTATACTCATGCTTCTGCTTAACAAGTTTTATGTTCCATTAGGTAAGTTCAACCAATATGGCTTGGTTTGGGTGTTAGGCGTTTGGGAGAAAAAAGGTTTGCCTTGTTATTCACTATCATCTGCAAAGCCTTTTAAAACATTATATGATTTCTACACATGAAATTATAAATGAGTTGAATTCTCTATATGTCAAGCAGATCAACTTAGTTATTTCATGATATTACTCTTCTGATAATATTATGAACTTAAAACCCAAACACATGGTCCATCAATTACTTGCCCAGTTCTTTACACTATTAAGGACAAAAATTACTATTTTTTAAGATCTAATACCATCTTTTCCTGCCTCAAGCATAGCAGTTCAATTCTGTCTCTCCGAACAGCAACATTATGCCTTAGCTTGCTTTGATGTAGAGCTATTTAATAAATAGCAGCCAAAACATGTCATAATATAGGAATTTTTTTTTAAAAATAGCATTGTTGTTATAGATTTTTTAGAAAGTAGATAGCATTACTTTATACTCCTCTCTTCCTTCCACCCATCTGTATCCCTACTACCCCCATAGGGGGTGTGCGCGCGCGCACACACACACACACACACACACACACACACATTGCTCCTGTAGGCTTCCTGGTGATGTGTATAACATAACATACCAGAGACTGCTACTCAAAGTGAGGTTCATAGATCAACTGCATTGGTATCACCTGGGAGTTTGTTAGAAATGCAGATT